GAGAGGTATGTCCCGCCCGGCGGCGAGTCAGGGATGAAACACCCGGCAGGCAGCGCGTCTGCCCGTCTGGCCGACAACATGTCCGTCCGCCCGCGTCGCACCGACCGGCCGCCCGACCACCCATTCCCATCACCATCTCACATACCTTCATATAGGCGCTCGAGACCTCCACTCGCTGCCTACTCGCTGCCTCTGGGGAGGAGGGGAAGACGTTGGGCTGCATGCGCGCCTGTCACCGAGGCCCCTCCCCGAAAGGCAAGTCTTAGCCACATGAAACCCGAGACCCCTCCCCCCCGCCCCGATCCCCCCACCCCCTTGCTCCCCTCCCCCCTCGGGAGGGCCGAACTGAGGCGCCCGTGGGGACCCCGCAATTCCCTCCCCCCCTCGGAGGGCCGGACTGAGGCGTCGAGGGCCCCCCTCTTTCCTTCGCATAGCGGCCACTCTTCGGATCGCTGGTCGACCCGGGGGATGCCCCGCGCGCCTGACCCAGGCGCGAAAACGAATCTGCGAGGCGTGGCCGCTCATGCGGCCCGATGGGGAGGGGCGGGGCGGACTACGGTGATCGGCTTCTTACACAGCCCTTCCCTGCAGCGAGCCCCCCTCCAACCCACCCGCGCTAGGTCCCGGGGGACGCAGGGGTCACACCCGACGACCTCGGGAACTAGCCGGGGCAGTCGGAGAAGGGGCAACTCCGTGCACTGACGGTCGGCCGTCAGAAAACACGCCTGCGTGGATCGCGTCACACCAATCCTCGCTACCCAACGCGGCCAAAGGATATCCACCTCGAGAACCTCGAGAGACATGAGACAACACAAGACTCCGAGACGGTGAGAGGAAACCGTCATCGACGTCACAGGCCATCGCAAATCTTTTGCATAATTTTGTCGAGATCTCTAAAAAGAAAAACAAATATCACGGCGTGTCTCGCACAAAGAACTGCGATCGTCATTTATCGACTTAAGGTTCTTCGGGCCAGTTGGGGGGGGCAAACCCTGCCCGGCCCCTAGAACCCCAGGTAAGGCCCAGGTATGGCCTAGGGCATCAGAAGGGACCAAGAGGAGTCCAGTCTGAGCCATAGAGCCCATGTCTTTGCCCCCGAAGGTCGCGTTCAAATGCCCGGAACGGCCGTCACAGTGGTGTCCGGCCGGCGCGATCACCGAGCTGTGACGCTCAGGGAAGCCTGATGAGGTACTGGTTTCTTTGCCCAGGGCTGGCCTTCCCCCCAGGCTGGATCAGCTGAGCAAGGTTTGGGGAGAATCCTATATTGGGATCTTCAGATATTTTGACGGATGACCGAAAATGGGCAAAAACGGGGTGATTTTGGTCATTTGACGGATGCACCTGGACCTTACCTGGGGTTCTAGGGGCAGGGTTTACCCCCCCACAGGAAGATTCTTAAAAAAGAAAAACTCTGCGGCGTCGCAAGTCACTGGCTTGCGATCGCCTTTTGAGATGAGCCCGCTGATCCTGTTCACCGCGGCCACCGCCGCGCCTACCGCCAAAAACGGCGCCTCCGGCCGCCTGCGGTCGGCGCTCCTCGCCTCGTACGACAAAGGCGTTTTCCCGTGGGAGGTTGCTTGGGAGGCGGCGCAGGCTGACGGGCCGGAGCGGTCGGGCTTGGAGGTCGAGATGGGCATCAACTTCCACCGTGTCCACTCCGTCGACGTCGTGAACCACGCCACGGACATGATCGTGTGGTATCGTCTGCGGTGGCACGACCCGCGGCTGGTGTGGAACGCCTCGCAGTATGGCGGGCTCACAACACTGCAGCTGTGGGTCGGTGACGGCACTGGCGCGGGCGAGACGTCCGAGATTTGGACGCCGGACATGACCCTGTGGAACCAGGGCGAGTCGATGCAGACCTCGCTCTCCAGCGCCTTCGCGAGCGTTTCGAGCGACGGCACCGTCTTCTGGTCACGGCCCGGCCACCTCCGCCCCACTTGCAAGTTCGTCGGACTCGACAGCTTCCCGTTTGACGAGCTGGGATGCACGATGGAGTTCGGCAGCTGGAGCTTCAGGCCCGACCGAGGAGCGCTGGAGAGGCGCGACACGGCGATAGCCTCACGATGCGGTTGTGTGAATAGCGGCCTCTACCTCCGCCCCGTCAAGATGGACGCCGGCTTCAGCATCGGAGGCTCCGAGACGGCGGGGGAGTCCTTCCAAGAGTTCTCGCTCGAGCGTGTCAGCTGCCGCGAGAACGTCTACCCGCCCTACCCTGGCGACCCAGAGAATGACTGGCCCGTCCTCCTCTACGAGGTGTGCTGCACACACGCTCACAGATACGCACGCTCGGGGAAGCCTACTCTCGGCTACTCTCGGCACAGCGCAGACGGTCAAGGACACGTGTCCTCTCGCACCTCCTCGCACGCTGCTCGCTCGCGTGTCCGATCCGCAGGTCGTCTTCCAGCGAGCTTGGCAGCCGTACACCCGTGGCTACATCTTATTGCAGGCCTTCCAATACAACACGCCCCCGCGCCTCGGACCCCCTCCACCCCGCCTCCTCCCCTCTGCCGCTCCCGCTCTCCCGCTCCTCCGATTCCTCCTCCTGCCGCAGGTGGTGCTAAACATAATCGGCTTCCTCTGCTTCAGCGTCCCGCCCCAGTGCGGCGAGCGGCTCGGCCTCGGCATCACGGCCGCCTCCCTTCTTCTTTTCCTTAGGTGTGCGGCGGGGGAACAAGCTTCCTGAGCTCTCTCGGAGCCGTCCCTAGGCGTTGCTCGCTGCCGTGGCATCCGACTTCGTCATCGCGGCAAAGCTTCCGGCTGCGCGCGAGATGACGTGGTCCGCGAGCTTCTCTCTCTAACTCGCTCCTGCCGGGACCCTTCTCGGACCCTTCCTCGGACCCTCTGTGTAGGTTTGCGCAGTTCTCCGCCTTCAGGTGTGCACACACGCACTCGAGGCCTGTATACCTCCCGCCCGTCAACTCCCCCCCCCCCCTCCCCCTCCTCCCCTTCCAGCCTCGCGTACGCCGCGGCGGTGCTGGTCGAGTCGTGCATCGTCATCGGCCTCTACTACAAGACCTCCGAGTCGCTCCTGCCCAGCTGCCTGCGCTGGGCGAGCCGGCGCGCGGCGGCCGTCGGCCTCCGCCGAGTTGTGTCCACAGGAACGGCGGCGGCCGTCGGCCTCCGCCGAGTTGTGTCCACAGGAACGGGCGAAGAGCTAGACGCGCCAACCCGCGAGGTTAGCGGAGCCGGCGCGCACGCGCCGACGGAGTTCTCGCGGCGCGACGCAAACGACTTCCGGCACGAGGCCGAGAAGGACCTCAACACAAAGTGGCAGCGGGTGGCATGCGCCATCGACGAGGTGGCGCGGTGGGTGGTGCCTCTCTCGTACGCCGTCGGACTCGCCTGCCTGCTCGCCGTCAAATAGAGGCGGCGCGACGGAGAGAGAGAGAGAGTGTCCTTGTCCCATCCGTGGACCACGACCAGCATGAGACGAAAAGAGGAAAGAGTAAGAGAAACGGCGCATCAACCCCAGAGTGCGCAGAGATATAGAGACTGGCAGACTCCATGGGAGTTCGAGCCGACCCCTCACGTCCCCGACATGCCGGTAAACACTCGCGGAGGCAGGGAGGAGCGACCGACCTTCCGGTCCCAAATGTGTCCACATGCGCGCGTGTGTGGTGCGCGGCGCACACGGTGCGCCACGCCGGATCCGCCGGCCGCACGCGGACCTGCCGCGCGCACGCCATGGCTGGCTGTGCACAGTCCTCTGCCGCCCCGCCCCGCGCCTCGCCCACGCCTCTCGGTAGGGGAGAGCGGCCACAGATTAGCGGCGGGACGGCCTCGCTAAGAGCTCTGCCCCGCCACCTCTGACCTTCCCCCACCTTTCCCCACCCCCCACCCGCCGGTCTCCCGGCCGGCGCGCTGGTCGCCGAGGCCGCTTGCTTTTTGCCACATGCTCGGGGCCGCCTTAAGCACCCCAGCGGAGGCTCGCCGCCACGATCTTGACCGCCTCGTCCACCGCCGCCTCTTGCCCGGCCTATGGCTCACCGCATCACGCCGGTCACGCCTTCGGTGCTGCCAGACCGCGCCGCGTCGGGGCCTCCCGAGCGCGCAGCCTTGTGCGCGCTGGCCGCCAGGAAGGAGAGCCGTCCCCGCGCCGGCTTGATGCGCTCGTCGGCGGTGCCCGCGGCGAGGGCGGCGTCGGCGGCCGCGAGCGCGGCTGCCCAGCCGACCGCGTCGCGTGGCGCCTAAAAGCGCGCGGCACACCGCCAAGGCCACGTCATTGAAGGGAGCGTGCATTGAAGGAAGCACGCGTCTCGACGGCAGCGGTGCAAGCGTCGCCTGCGCGGCCGCGCTCACGAAGCAGCTGAGCGCATCGACCAACCGCGACGCAGAGCGGCCGCGGCCAAAGCCGTCGCGCAGCAGCTCCGCCGCCTTGGTGTAGAAGGACTTTGCCGCGGAGCGCGGCGTCGGCGCAGTCATCGCCGCCTCACACCACACCTGCGCCGCCGAGCTGCGCAGCCTGTCGGCGGCGGCGCCCTCCGGCTGCGCAGCCGCGCCCTGCAGCAGCGCGACGGCGGCGAGGTGGAGGAGTCGGCCCGTCGCCGCCGCGTCCTTCGCCTCCTTGGCCTCGAAGTAGAGGCGCTTTCCGCCCATCACGAGCGCGCTGGCGCGGTCGGCGCCCTTGAGGTACGCCTGGGGGGCCGCAAGATGAGAAGTGAGTGGTGTGGGTGAGGGTGCTACGTGTGAGAGAGGCTGCGCCTTCTCGGCGTGCGCCCACAGCTTGTTGCGCTCGAGATTGGCGGCCTGGCGCAGCCAGTCCTGCGCGCTCGACTTGCGGCTCTTCGTCTTGGTCACGGAGAGGAGGCTCTCGAGCCCGCTCTCGGCGACGCCCGCGCGGCTGAGGTAGCCAAAGAGGGGCGCGCGCCGCTCGGTCGACGAGTCGTAGACGAAGCAGCGCTTGCGCGCCCGTGTCATGGCGACGTAGAGCATCTTGAGCTCCACGCACAGCACCTGATCGCGCAGCGTGTCGAAGGCGTGCGGAGCGGTCGCGCCCGGCGCCACCTCGCCGTCGATGGCGCCGACCACCGGCCAGGTGCAAGCCTTGTCGGAGTCGGCGAAGAAGTCGAAGATGCAGACGTCGTCAAACTCGAGGCCCTTGCTCTCCTCGACAGTCAGGACGAGCCCCGAGCGCAGCAGCGGCGGCAGCTTCTTCTTGGCCGAGGCGCTGCGCACAATCACGACCTGGTTCGCGCCCATCTCGCCGAGCCCGATGTCGTCCGCGGCGAGCATCATCTCCGCCACCCGCGCGGGGTCCGTGTCGGGCAGCAGGGCTGGCGGCGGGCCGCCAAAGTGGCCGACCTCCTCGTCGAGCCTACGCGTCGGGCATGTCAGGGGCGTGTCATGGGCATGCCTGGGAGGAGGTCGGGGGCCGACCTCCCTCTTCGAGCCGGTCGAGCGAGTTTGGGAAGAGGCGCGTGACGAGGCCGACGAGCGCGTTGGCCGCGCCGAGGATGCCTGGGGGTGAGGGCTCCGTCGTGGCAGGCTCTGGGATGATGGCGCTGCCTCGGTGGCGGTGTGGAGGCGGGGGCGAGGGTGGTATGCGGCGGACACCCGCGTGCGTCCGGAAGTTGGTCTTGAGCTGAGCCAGCTTCGGCCTGCCGCCGAAGAGGAGCTTGACGTCGGTGAAGCGGAAGCCGACGCCGCGCGTGATGGTCTGCGCCGTGTCGCCGCAGATGAAGAAGCCGTCCTCATCGGCGGACGTGTCGTGCAGCAGCGCCAGTTCCGCCATGGTCAGGTCCTGAACCTCGTCGATGACGACCTTGTGCAGCGGCGAGTGGCGCCGCGGCTGCGTCTTGAGGTGGAAGACCTATCCGAAAGCACGCGTCTCGTGGATGGCGAGCCCGTTCGCACGGCTGCCACGGTGGCAGAGCTGGGAGGGGCGCCAGGTCGCACACGTCGTACAGGCCATTCTTCTTCTTCTTCTTGAGGTACTCCTCGAAGGCGTCGTACGCGGCGGGCCGCATCGCGGGCTCGAGCGGCGACTGCTTGCTCGCGAGCGCGAGGTACTCATCGCGCGAGAGGTAGCCTGAGGGCATGTGCCACGCGTCATGGACGTGTCATCGAGGTGTGCCAGCGCCCCGTCTCCATCGGAGGCGAGCCTCGCGGCGTCGCCATCGCCTCGCGGCTCCCCTTGATGTAGCTGAAGACCTAAGCGGGTCAGGTGGCGACGGTGGCGGCGGTGCCAAACGGGGCTCCGGCGGCGAGGATAGTGGTGGCGATTGGCGATGGAGGGCAAGGCGGCGATGGCGTCGGAGGCGACAACGGTGTGGCTTGGGGCAGCGAGACCTCGCGGTAGAGCGCGCCCACGTGCAGCTGCTTGTCCTTGAGCGAGCTGTGGCCCTGCAGCAGCCGGCCGAAGCCCTCAAAGGTGAGCAGGGACCGCTCGCCCGCGCCGCTGGCGCGCTTCGCCCGCCGCGCCGCGCCCGCCGCGCCCGCCTCGCCGCGCCCGTTCGCCAGGTCGCGCGGCGACGAGGGCTCCGCCGGCGCGAGGAGCGGCGCGAGGCTGTCGCCGCCGCCGTCCGTCGCAGAGAGGAAGCGCGCCACCTCCTGGTCGGACTTGAACCAGCGCTGGTCGGGCGGCAGGCAGCGGTCGAGCAGCACCAGCCACTCGGACGAGGAGAGGAAGAGGGGCGCGTCCAGCTCGGGCTCGGCCGCGACGAAGGCCTCCTTGAGGCGGGCGGCGGGCGGCGGCTGCGCGCCGAGCGGAGCCACGAGTCCCGCGTGGTGGCTCTCGATTCGCGAGGCGAGCGTGCGGCTCTTGCAGAGGAAGAGCACCTATTCACAGCTGCGCTGTTCACAGCTGGACTATTCACAGCGGCTCTTGCAGAGGAAGAGCACCTATTCACAGCTGCGCTGTTCACAGCTGGACTATTCACAGTGCGGCTCTTGCAGAGGAAGAGCACGTTGGCGTGCGGCGGCGCGCCCTCGCCATCGGCCTCCAGACGGGCCGGCGCCCCCTCAGCCACGCGCTGCTCTGCGACGCGGCGCCGCTCGTTGGCTGCGTGGGTGCGGTAGAGGAGCTCGTTGCAGAGGGACGTCTTGCCCGTGCCGGAGCGGCCGACCAGCAGCGTGGAGCAGGTCGGCTGCGGCGGCGGCACGAGCGCCTCCTCGTGCGCGTCGAGGAGGAGCGGCAGCTGGACGTCCTGCACGTCCGGGTTGAGGAGGAGGAGCTTGGGCAGCGTGTCGCTCACGGCGTACCACTTGATGACGTAGGGTACCTGAGGGCGCAGCGCGCCGGATGTGGGGGCATCGCCGCCGCGCCGCTCTGCGACACTGGCAGGCGTGCGGCACCGCCAGCTCGCCGCCGTCCTCGGCGTGGACCGGGTGCCACTTGTCGCTCGGGTGCGAGAGCTCGTTGGTGGTGCCCATCGGGAAGCGGCCCTCGGTGTCGCGCCGCCCCCTCTCGCCGTAGGCCCACGCCTCCTCGACGTACAGCGCCACCTCGTGCAGCGACACGTCGGAGGTCTCGATCGACCACACGCGGATCGCCTCGGCGCCGCGCGCAGCCTCGAAGAAGGGGCGCCCCTCGCTGCTCCGCTCCCACACGACGGCGAAGACCGCCTCGCCGCCCTTGCCCAGGCTCGCGCTGACGCGCAGCGGCACCGCCTCCGAGCCGGGGCAAGGGCTCGACGTCGCCTCGCCCGCGCCAGAGGCGAGCGTGTGGAAGAGCGCCAGCGCCTTGCGCCGCCTGGCGACGTCCATCATCGTCAGCTGCAGCCAGACGTGCCGCGTGAGGACGACGCGGATCGGCTGGGCGCCGAAGCAGAGACGCTTCACGAGCTTCCGGCTGCGCTCCTGTTGGGGGCGGTGGAGGCGGTGGGGGAAAGCGGCGACAGTGAGGGCGGCGGCGGTGAGGGTGGCAGCGGCGGCGGGGGCGCACGCCTCGCCACTCACCACGAGGCTCGCCGGTGAAGGCTCCGCCTCCGCCTCTGCCTCCGCCTCGCCGTTCTCTGGCTTGTGCGTCGGCGGCGCGCGGGGTGAAGCGGCACGCTTGGACTTGGCGGCCTTGGACGTGGCGCCGGTGGCGGCGCCGCGGAGGCTGAGCAGCTCGGCCACGCTCGCCTGAGGTGCGGGCGGGCGGACCGAACTCGAGAGGAGTGGGGGCTATCCT